TTGAAGGCAGGTCCTCTCCCCTGCACTTACCACTGACGCAGTTTGCTGAGAAATAAGGGACAGCCATTTGCAGAATTGTGTTTTCCTGTCTACACCCACACAAACTGTTTATACAAAGAGAATTAAGGAAAGTGCACATCTCAACATAGCTTTAGAGACTGGTGTTACAAGAGATTTTGACCCAAACCCCAGCCTTAAAGGCAAGTTGTATAATAAAATACAGCTTACTTTTAACAGGCAGCCTTTGCTTCACTAGTAATTAGTGAGAGAATATAGATAGTGTAAGTTGCTGCATCAAGTTACCTTTATGGTCCAGAGCTGGATTTAACCTGAGGAAACTACTCCTGACACTAAGATATGCCTCTTTGTAAGAGACAAAAATATTAATGAGAATATAAAAACGTGCATTGCTATTAACCACAACTCTTAGGGAGGCAAACCCTACCATCTGTTCACTGAAACCTAGAAGTGCTGAACTTAAGAAATGTTTAACTCATAATTATGAAGTTACTCCCTGAAAACAGTTTTCCTGATGGATTTTTCTAGCTCATTCTGTCATGATTAATTATTAGCTCACTTCCACAATAAGCATGCTTGACTGACTGAGTGGAAAGAAATAGAAGTGTGTGAGAAGGTAAAGCATGCTTGTATTTCATGTAGAAAAGTGAGCAAGAACCACAAGAATGACTGAAGAATTGATACACCTGACAAGAAGCAATGTATAAAGAAATACACAAGCAGAACACTAAAATGAAAGACTCCACACTGCAGGCTAATAATGCAGATGCACCATGACTGCACACTCAGTAAACTGTATCCTAGCACCAGCTAGTGGTAAGAATTACTGAAGGCATTTTTTTTTTTTTTTTACCAAGAAAAATGAACATGTTCATAATCGAAAAGCTTCAGATTATTATATATTGCCTCCTAGCCATCAAGTCTGATTTATTTTTAAAATTGCTTTCAACAAAACAAATGTATCACAGAGTATGCCTACATCATCCATACAGCACCTGAAGTGGTTTTGATTGATCCATGTGCTGAGTTGGAAGAAGCAGTACAGACAACAATCAGATGCTTTCTCCATACTCAGTGCTGTTTCACCCTCAGAGGCAGCTTGTCACTATGCAAATAGCAGGTAACCAAAAGCAGAGCCAAACACTATTCTTACCATGCTTTCCCTTCCACAGAGCATTGCCAACATCTTCTCTCAACATAAATATTTCTTGTGTTTAAGTGAATTGACACAGATGACTTTTAGCCCGTTAGTAGCAGTAGTACTCAGGTAATGGCTAGTAAGTCCTATATAACTTACCTGAAGGACCGAAAACCACAGCAGCTCTCAAGTTCTGGAGAGGGCAATGTTCCAGTGAAGCATGTCTACTCAGTCTTGGACTGAAGTCATCTGTTCTCTTAAACAGAAAAAATAAAATCTTAGGTTCCATAGCCTGTGATCAAGAGGTAGTGAACTGACTTCATTAACTGTACACCAGTATGTTGTCCCATCAGATATCCTGGTTACCATTTTGCTAGTCAGTTATATGGGACTTGTCATGGTCATGGGAACTGTGGGAAGGCCACGTGGAGCATGCATATGGAAGCCAAATATTCAAGACTAACTAGGTAGGACCATATCACCAATTCCATAAAGTGATCCCGAAAAAGAACCTCTCCATAGCCTATAGGAAAAGGAGCACTTGTTGGCCAGCAGACATGGAACTTATGTACAGTATAACAGGCGAGCAATGAACTCAGACAAGAATAACAATCAAACCATGAGACAGTTGTGAGTAGTATAAAACTCCATTGATAAACCTGGATACTGCTTTAAGTTGTGAAAAAATGGATTTTTATAACAAGTCCTGGTACTGGTACAAAGATGACTCAGGCTGTAGAAAGCAGATAGAAGAATAAGGACTGTGAAGGACCTTGAGGCCAAGTTAGAAAGAATCACCTAAATCTGAAGGAAGTAAAGAGAAGCAAGAATACTTAAGTGCATGAGTTTTAAGAGGCTCATGCCCCAGGAGATTTGAAGTACAAGTTACCTAAGTATCTTAGTACTTCAGCCAATTCTTTGTTTTATCTGTCAAAAGGCTCTTTTAGAAAAAAATAGTAATATTAGTTAAATGTAAAGCTATTAAGTAACCAGTACCCTAGCAGTTCAAACTCTTATCAGTCTTGCCCAGAGAAATTACTAGTTTAAGCCATAACATGCAGCACATTGTCTCTGATGTTTATAAGGACAAACTAGAACAGCACAGAAAGTTTTGATAATAGACATCTTGTTCCACTTAACAAGAGAAGAATTGGCCATATTAGTATCACTTGGGTCTAGATAGTTTCAAGGCTGCTTCAGATCCTCAGATGAGAAAAAACCTTTTCTAGAAAGATTTTTCCTGCCAAGGCTTACTAAGACTTCTACACACATGAAGTTCTCTGTCTCTAACCATGTAACAGACACCTTCCCAGTCACCCCAATATATTCAGTCAGACATGCTATTTACAAAAAGTTTTTGTAGTATTTGTCACAATATGTGTGCTCATATTATGTGCCTCTGTGTGTGTGTTTAAGCACACACAGGTAACCTGAAACCCTAATTCATTATTTTAGAGAGCATGGTCGCAGCAATATCGATATTTTCAGAATACAAAAAAAAAAATAAAAATTAAGTGTTCAGAACTTTAATCAGCTAAAGATTTGTAGGATTCTCTGACCATCAAAAATAGTGTAAACTGAAGTGCAAGTCCACTGAAACACCACCAGGTGGTATGTATTCTCAATGTAAGTGCAGGGAAAGTAAAGATGACTTGTACACAAATAAGTGACGACACATAGTCAACAAAAGCAAAAACTTCCAGGCAAAGCAAATTGAGAAGTCTTTCTGGCAATAAACAGGGGCAAAAGAGGCACAAAACCCAGCACAGACTATGCCAAAACGAGACAGCTTGTTCCTGTTCAGTGGGATTGAATGATGGGTTCTGGAAAAAAACAGTCACAGAAGTATCGCATCAATACAAGTTCAGAATAATGCAAGGAAGTGATCGAGTTATAGAACAAGAGAGTTTGAGACAAGGCTAATATTGGAAGTTGTACTTTTATTGTAACAATGTTTTCTTCATGTTCCCCTCAGACAAAATCGGCCACCTGCCTTTTTAATGCTGCCGGTCTGTTAGCCTCACTGGGTTTGGATTGCTCTGAAAGCAAAAGGTGATTGGCCTGCTATAGCATTTCTCACTCTGAGAAGGTAACATGTTGCAGTAAGCTTCACAGAGACATTCATAATTTACATGAGCAGCTTGAGAGCCCTAAGATTCATACATGGAAGACTTCTATATCAAGAGTGTCATGCTAGAAGATTGATAAATAATGTGAGTCTCTACTATTTAATGACGCCAAACTAGCAATATTAATTCCAGGCCAGTGATAAAATAACATTTTGCTCCCCTACATCCTTTGTCATCTTCTGCCAATAAGCCTACAATGACAGTTGTAAACTACAAATCCCGTTATCCACATAAGTTCATCTGTATCAGTGCTTTGGTTGTCACAGTTGAGATAAACACTAATTATTTCCAGAAAAAAATGTAGCTTTGAACATCAAAGATTCCATCCTGTTGAAGCCTACCATCACTTTAAAAACACAGTCCATACTAAACAGATCTTCAGCCTGCTTTTGAATGTCAGTAAGGCCTTACAGCATAACAGGAGTGAGTCTCACACGTTTTCCCTTTGGTAGTGTTTTGTTTCAAGTATTGGAAGAACACCTAACATTCTATCTGTGAAAAGCAGCAGTTATTAATGAAAGAAATTAATATCTTTTTAATCAGACATATGCCAGATTCCACTACATCACATAGCTCTTGCATTTCTTTAAAAGAAGGTGCTAAATACTAAACGCTAAATGTCATTCTGGTACACCTTTCACTTTTCAAAGTTATATTTCAACTGAACACAGCAGCACAGAAAAGTGTAAACGATACGGAACTTGGAAAATCGACAAGAAAACAGGAAAACAATACTTGATGACAGGATTATGTGTCTCACTACATTAGAAGCATACAGGAAAAAATGTACTGAAAGTACAGATGTATTTTACTCACACTCAAAGCATGAAGGCTAAAGATACAGAATGTGGTTAAGTGGCAGCTAGTTGGAAAACAGTAGTGACTAACAGTTGAGCAAAGCACAGCTGCTTAGAGTAAGAGTGATGGGATAAACCAAAAATACACAGGCTGGGAAACTGCCAGTGAAGCCCCTAAGGTAGAATAATTGGAATCCCTGTAGTTCAACATATGTAATACTGAGATGAGAAATCACACCTTATGCCTCAAGATTCTCCAAATCCTTGTCTACTTTTACAGATAAAGTTTGTGCTTGTAGGTATCACATTATTCCCTATTCTTGTGCCTCAAAAGGCAGAAATTTGTGAAGATGACCAGAGAATTTAATCCATTACACATCACTCCATGAACAAGACAAGGATTCTACAAAGCAATTTTAATGCCTCGTCTCCTGCCTTTTGGTTTAATGAGTCTCAGTGACAACTAAAGAGATCAGTATTACTGTTAGCTTAACAGCACTAAGTTACTTCAAGCAATTCCAAAAGCAAAGTGTATTTTCTAAGTGCTTTATTATCACACGAATGAACATATTATTCAAGGATACCTTTATAATAGATTCACCAAGCCTTTGACACAGACACTACTATGTTTGCAGTGTGGCTCATTTGCATCCCTTGTGTGTTCGTTTATTCTATTCTGTACAGTAGAGGCTCCTGTACTAACTTTGTCAGATTAGTACTTACTATTATACCCACAAGCTAGTATTCATCACAGGCATTCTCATCTTTATCCTAAGGAAATCTAGAGCATAAGCGGCTTGTTGTCATACCTATTTTTATTATTAATTCATTACTGTGATGCAGAGGCTGAGTTGTGGGCAGACAGACTCAGTGCCATATTCTGGAAGCTTTTGATAAGATTTCTAGCAGGCAGAAGGATTCTGCCTCTTTCCTCTCACTTTTCTTTCATGCTTTATCTTTTCTTCGTATTACTTCTGTCATCCTAAATTTGGAAAATAAAAAGAATCTGCTTTAAGACAAATAGAAATGTTATACTATGCAATGCTAAATGAGAACCTTTTATTATATGTATATATATAGCAGTGATGCTTTATTTTAAAAGGAAGCTTTGTTGGTCAGAAGTGGTTTCTTTAACGCACTATCCTTTTATTCTTTGAAATGTCTTGGGAGAGGTTTCAAACTAAAAATTCCAAATATTAAGCCTAGACAAGACTCTGCACCCATTTGTATACGAATGGAAATAAACAGGATACAAGTACAAGAGCATGTTTACTACCAAACAGCTGACACAATCGAGCAAATGGCTCAGGAATACCTATGGGAAGACCAGGACTACACAAAGATAGTTCTGATGATAATGTTGCAACTGTTAGTTACCAAAATTACTGACAAACTGACAGCATCAGACAAGTTTTTTCCACTTTTGCAGTCATACACATAATATGCTTATGACAGCTACATTTCATACAGATATTGAAAGAACATTACTGTTTTCTACCCTAAGGATTTTGACTGAAAAAAAGGAACTAACACTTCTTCAAAACACTTAGAAGTGAGAGTTCCTTGGTTTGTAGATAAAATAATAACTGCAAACCAATATAAAAGCCTATCCTATCTAGATGCTTTGTTTTTACTTACTCTCTTACACCATAAAGTCATATTAAGATTCAAAAAATCAAAATTGGAATTATACAGCTTAATTTAGCATTCAAAATTCTTCTAACATTCATAGCATAAACCTTCCAAGAATCTATGAACTTTAACAAGAGCTTTTTTGAAGTATTAACTTTTATTATCATAAAACTATAACCTTGTATTAGTAGCAATTACATATACAAAAGCAGTTACAGAATTAGCTACCTGAGAAAAGACTGTTTCTATTTTGTTCTGAGTTCCAGCTTTTCAAAAGTCCCTTCTTCACCTACAATAGCATACGACAAAAAGTAATTAATAAACATTAAAAGCAACAGAGTTAAGTAATCTTCGTAAGTGATTCTACAACTATAAAGAATTTCATATTGGTTTAGCATTATATCTCTAAACAATAAGAAATAAAATTATGTTTTTGAGCAAATATAAACAATTTAGCATTTTAAACCATCCATTAAAAAGCTGTTTAAGTATTTAAATTAAAATATTTTTTAAATCTTCAATTAAGCCAAATGTAAGCCAAGATAATCCTAGCTATATAACATTCCTACTTTATCACTACACAAAGCCAAGCAAAACCTGTAAGGAAACAAAAAATACAGGAAAAGAAAGACAACCAGCCTCACTGAAAATAAACTCACTTTCACAATCTAGCTCACAGCCTAAAATTACTGTGGTCTTCCAACATTACTTTTACAGTAACATCCACCAATCAGTAACAGGGTGAGTCTTCAAATTAAGCCTCTGAAGAGCCAGTACAGCCTTAACCAAGAAGGAATAGAGAAGTAGTATCAGTGTTTGATCAAAAGCCTTTACTCCCTTCAGCTTTAAACAAGTGAGTAAAAATTAATACTAGAGCAATGAAGTTATAAAATCAAAGTAAAATTAATAAAGTCAAAAGAAATGTTAAAAATAGCAACGTTTTGTAGTCAGTACTGTAAGCTTGTGGGTTAGTTTGTTGATACCTACCTTGCCTGGTTTACAGTCTCATTATCTCTATAATGCAGGAAAAAATAAGAAGGTAATAGGCTAATTTATTTTTTAAAAAAGGGCTGTGTTTTTAGCTCCTTTAGAAACTTTCTCTAGAGTTAAGTATGTTGAGGAAAGTCATAATTTGTATTATTTCTGATTCTTTTGGAAAACCATATACATAATAATCTTGAAGGTAGAAAGACTTGTACTCTAGCTGATGGTGTATGTATCTTGTTCTATGTTGTTTTCTCTGTTATAGCTATAAGGTTCTAACATGCTAAATAGAAGCCTTGTTTTTTCTTAAAACGACTCCAAAACTTACACAGATGTAATTAGTCTAGCTTAGAAAATGAAATGTAATGAAATAAATTAGAATTAATTTAGCCTAATAAGTTAAAAGTTGCTTAGACATATTTTATATGTTAATATCCTAACATATTAGGATTTTTTACTACTAAAATTAGAGGTTTCAAAGCTGACTTTAGTATACTTAAGCAACGTATTAAAATACAAACATATCCTGAGTAATCCAGGTGGGAAGATCACTGTGTCCTGTTATTTTTCTGTCTGCTGTGGCTTGGCAAACTTAAGCATTACCACAGACGCATTCAAATTCTCTGGCTTGAGAGTGTGCATTTTCCTTATGCTTGAAATGTTATCTTTGTAGCTGTGTTTGTTAGAAATATTGTGAATTGCTGTAAAAAGCTTGTTTGACAAGAGAGCGTAGTCAGGTGATTTGCTTGGCTACTTCCTAAGGAAACCTTCCAGCTTCATGGAACGGGACTCCTCTGTCCTGGGACTATAGGGGTACTTCGTGTGCCCAGGCTTATCGACAGTTTTAATGTCACTCTGATGCACAATGAATGTGAAAACAAAATAATCAAAGGAATGTAAAATATTTCTTTAGACCTCTCATCTGTCACTGCATTAATGCCTCCCATCTCCTATGGGTTTAAGTCAGGGGGTTTTCATCTGGGAAAATGGCAAATCCTCAACATTTCCTTTCAAAAACAGCCCTAGCCCAGGAGGACTACATCTCTTTGACAGGATTACGAAGGAAAATTCAAGTGAGAATATTATTTTTCTCTTCAAATTGAATGGACACACTGTTACGCCCTGCAGTACAAACACAAACATTTCCCAAGGAGGTGACTATGGGTTTGTTTTTTGTTTTTTTTTTCCTTCCCTCTCAGGTACTTGCTCAGAAATCACAGTGAGAAAACTTTGGTTTACACGGGACAGCGCAATATACGTGCAGCAAAAATGGGGTCTGAGGCTTCAGCCTGCCGGCCCCAAAGCACCGCCCGCGCCTCCTCCGGGCGTGAGCATCTTCCCGCACACCACCTCCAGCTATTCAGCTAATTTCCCCTCAGCCACTCATTATTTTTTTTTTTTTCGTTTTCAGTCAGAGGCGAGAAAACCGCCTCCCTGCGGAGCTGCACTATTACCAAAAGATGAAAAACAGACACACACACAAAAAAAAAAAAAAAAGAAATCGGGAAAGAGAACCTGCTCTTCTCCACAGCTCATTGTCTGGGGTGAGGGTGGTGGCTGGAGGCCGCGGTGCGGAGGCCGGCGCGGGCAGGTGGGCTGAGCTGAGGCGCTCTCGGGGAGACACCGGGGGTGAAACGGGTGCGGGGAGCCGGGGGGCGGCCCCGCTCCGGAGGGGGTCCCGCGGCGGGGGGACCTGCCCGCTGGCCTCCCCCCAACGTCACTTCCGAGGCT